TTGCATGGACTGTGTTGGATAGGGATATAAAAAAGAGAATATTCTCATAAGATATTGGAGCCAACGGACACTAAAACCGGATTTGCTCATCCAACTTGGATCGCGTGGCTGTTGCTGACACTAAAACGTTTATCTGATTTATGATATGATTACATAGTTGTATTTGTTGCGATTAAATCTACAAAACAAGATCTCACACGATTATATTTTGGTTAAAATTAAATAAATGAAAAGTGGGTCCTGTGAAAGCATATAGGCCCCTAGTTGGGTTTCGGTGATTAATGACAATACGTGATTATTGTGACTAACGTGTGTTTTGCAGAGGCAATTAAGTTAGGTCACGGTAATGGAGATCGATTGGGCAATCATAATAGTCATGCCCCGACGATGGAAATCGTTTCGGTTTTCAAAGGATGGACGATAAGGTTAAGGATGGACTAGTTCTAAGTGTCGATTGGAGTTGAAGAGACACTTATAGTAGTTTAGGACTTTGTTTTTCCTTTGGTCGTACTATTAAGGGGGGTATGGACGGGTAGCTTGACCTAGGTGAGTCTAGTGAGTTAGGTGTGGTGCACACTTGTTAAAACTAGCACTAGGTAGCTCCAAAATAGCCCTTAGATCCAATGGAGCAAACTTCATTCATATATGATCGAGAGTTGAAAGTGAATGGAGGGTCAAATACTAACCGGATGCTGGCTCTGGTGTGACCGGACGCTGGCTCAGAGTCCGGTCAGTTCATTTGACCAAGGTGAAATTGTCTGGCGCGACCGGACGCTGAGAGGTCGAGTGACCGGACGCTGAGAGCCAGCGTCCAGTCGACTCCCGTAAGGTTCCAGAGAGGGAAAAACACGACTGGATGCGTCCGGTCACACTGTAAACACTGGAGTTTGGGGGTATACTGACCGGAGCGTCCGGTCATCCGCAGAGTCACATAACGGTTCGTTTTTCAGCCCATGTTATAAATACTCCCTCCACTCGTGTGTGGGGGTACTTTTGCTCATTCCAACAGCCGAGAAACATCTTAGAGAGTGCTAAGAAGAGCAAGGTCCTAATGAGGTGATTGAGATTTGAGAATCACAAAGAGAGCCCTCATTAGTGAGATCAAGAGTAGCAAAGTGTGTATCCACCCTTCTCATTAGTCTTGTTGTGGTCAAGTGAGAGTTCGTGCTTGTTACTCTTGGTGATCGCCATCACCTAGATGACTTGGTGGTGATTGGGAGCTTGGTGATCATCCAGAGAGCTTGTGGATGACCCAACTCAAGTTGTGAGCGGTTGTGGGTGATTCACCGCGACGAAGTGTCGAAGAATCAACCCGTAGAGAGCACTTGATCCTTGCACGGATCAAGGGGGGCTACACCCTTGCGCGGGTGCTCCAACGAGGACTAGTGGGGAGTGGCGACTCTCCGATACCTCGGCAAAACATCACCGCGTTTCCTCTCCTCTCTTTACTTTGAGCATTTATTTTGAGCAATTCAATTCTTGTCATTTACATTCATAGAATTGCCATGCTAGAGTAGGATTGGAACTTAGGTTGCTAAACTTTTGTGCGTTAGTTCAATAGAAACACTTTCTAGGCACAAGGGGTTAATTGAGCTAACTGTAGGACTTATTTATTGCGAAGAAATTTAGAATTAGCCCAATTCACCCCCTCTTGGGCATCTTGATCCTTTCATCCTGCATGGCATCATCAACTTATCAATCCTCATCTATCCAACCAAACAGAAAGATGGCGCGTCCCGTCTCGTCCCATCCGACAAATATCCATCTAATCAAACAAAAAATAGCATGTCCCTTCTATTCAACCAAACAACAAGTATGGATAACCATATCTAGAAATCCATGGATGACCCTATCCCATCCATCCTTGTCCTCCAAACACACTCTAACTGGACAGAAATGGGTCCTTGAAGCTTCAACGTCAGATCAGAAACACACGAGCGAACTCTGAATTTTTACGTAATGGAAATTATTTAAGGGACAATTGTCTGTTGAACATCCAAAATGATGGTCCTTTGCTGCCGGACACCCACTTTGGAGCATTTTACCAGAAAACACTCTGATTCGGTGAAATTAGGCCACAGGACACCGCGGACCGGTTGCAGCAAGTTGAAGAGAGAGAACAGCGGTGAAATGACATTCTTGCCCCTGCCGCTTTCTTCTTTCTCTCTGCCTTTCTCTTTTTCTATTTCCTGCTCCGCGGCAAGCACCGCAACCAGTGCCTCTCGCTTCGGTGTCTCGCCGAGCTTAATGCCGAGTGCACCACGCGGTGGCGACTGCACGAACTGAGGACGTGAAGCCGGGATTCCTGCCGACCGCTCCTCGGCCAACCCCGCACGGTGCAGAGCGCTTCTGGCACCAAGGACGGGCTGTCCCTCGATGACCCACCACGCACGCTGCGGGCGCACCATGAGGCGATGGAGCGGAACTGCCTCGAGCCGTTCAAGGCGCTGTTGTGTGACCTGCTCAGCAAGCCTGGTGTGCCGCCAGTCAGCTGTGTCGTGGCCGACACCCCGATGCCGTCCGCGGCCGTGGCTGCGTGAGAGGTTGGCGTCCCGGACGTGCCGCTGGACTGGGTGCTCGGGATGAAACAGGGCGTCGCCCGGAGCCACGGTGGCCGCGGCTGCCCGCGCCCCGGCGGCCGTGCTCGCGCGCGCCACTGCGGCCGGTCCTGCTCATGCGCGCCTCGGCTACAGCGGTTCCCCGTGCCCGGCGGCCCATCCCTCGCATCCCACCGGCGCGGCCCCGTATCCCACCGGCGCGCCGCGGGAAGGAGGAAGAGGAACCCGCGGTGGCGTTCCTGATGATGGACGCCAAGGTGCCCGGCCACGTGCTTGCCTCGAGTCCCGCTCCTGTCCTTGCCGCCTGGGCATGCGCCCATGCTTGCCGTGCCGCTACGACGCCCCGGCCACGTGCTTGCCGCAAAGCCCGCATCCGTCCACACCTTCCGCCCGTGCGTGCGTACGTGCTCGACTGCTCGCTATGCAGCCGCATTGTTTGCGTCGCCAGCCACGTGCTTGCCGCGCAGGACGACACCGCTGCCGAAAACTACGGGCGCAGCCGTCGGTGGAGAGTGTGCGCTGCGCCGCCGTAACCTCTCGTCCTTTTTCCGTGCGAGGCTGCGAGCACGGGGGAGCCCAGCATGGCGGCGCTAGAGGAGCACGAGCACACCAGCAGCAGGCAGCAGCCTCCCCGACCATGGGCACGTGCGGCGACCTGCTTGCCGCGGAGTAGGAAACAGAAAAAAAAGAAAGGGAGAGAGGAAGAAGAAAGCGGCGGGGGCAAGAATGTTATTTCGCCGCTGTTCTCTCTCCTCAACCGGCTGCAACCGGTCCGCGGTGTCCTGTGGCCTAATTCCACCGAACCAAAGTGTCTTCTGGCAAAATGCTCGAAAGTGGGTGTCCGTCAGCGAAGGGCCATCACTTTGGATGTCCAACAGACAATTGTCCCATTATTTAATTACATGAAATAAATGTTCCACAGTGTAATGAAAAACGACACCGCTAACATCAATGTGTTAAAGAAGTAAACAAAAATAAGCAGAAAATAATACTACAAAGAGCAGAAGAAAATGAGCTGTAAAGATCATCGTCGTCATCGTTGGCATTGGGCGCCGCATCTGCTTCTGCCGCCTGCTAGGGCCGCTTGGGGAACTGGAACTCGCTGCCGAATCCCCTCAATTGCTGCAGCATCTGCGCGAACGCCTGGTACTTGCGGATGTCCGCGGCCGCGGAGCTTCGACAAGACCCTACCATGCTCACGGCGGCCTCTTTCTTCCCCTCTCCCCTCCCGTAGGCGGCCCCCACCATGGCCACCGTCGCCCCCTCCCCGGGCTGGTCCAGCTGCTTCCGCCGCCGCAAGAACCCTAACGCGGCCCTCTCGCCGTTCCCACTGCCTGGACGGTCTGTCTCCCCCGAGCCCCATCTCTTCTAAGCCCGCCAGAGTTAGGGAAGAAGAGAGGGAGAGAGGGCGCGGGCGTGGAGGCCGATGGTGGAGGGTGGGGGAGGGAGCGGCGGAGGAAGAAAAAGAGCACGGTGAGGAGGCGAGCACGATGAAGACGGGTCGCACCCTCTTATTAGACTTTGCGAAATATAAACTAAACAAGTCCATGACACTTGAGAATCCAAAAGTAACACAAATCAAATAAGGATGGGAGAACGAGCGGCACGTATATTACAGAGCTTGCTTGCTTATGATTCTACTGTAATCATTCACATTTTGATCACAATACCGATGCATATGCAATGGTTGATTCGAGGGGAGAGGGAGACTGTGCCGGGCACTTGGGATTGCAACGTGGGCACGCCGCCCTGCACTCCACGTATTGTAGCACAACCGTTTCGGCAGGTAACAATAGCAGTCATGTGGCTCCGTATAACAGTACCTCTTTTCACAAAATACCAGCGTGACCTTGCTCTCATCTGTTGTTGCAGTTCTGACCTCGAGCAGGTGAGGACGACCGGCTGCATCGGGAAGATTTGTTCATCAGCACGTAGTGTGTATTATACACACACAGACAATTATATAAAGATAAACATAAGAGATGGTCGGATGTAACATACACAGTACCGTCGGCCATGCAGCGAGGAACAAGATGATCATCATGCACCCCGAACCCCCACACCTGTCATTCATATTGGATCGTCGTGATTCGTGAATGGTACAGAGTCAACCTGCAAGGGGAGCTAGCACTAATATTGGGTGAGTTTATATACAGACGGTACATAGTGCTCAAAAAAAGAAAACGTCGCCTAATTGCAATCATGACTTCCTTAATTGCCGCGTGGTTTTCTTTCTTTTTACTACAAATGAGAAAACGTCGCCTGCACAGAAACCTCTCTGCGTTTCAAAAATAACGAGGGATCCTGATAACTCGCCTGCATCTGCATGGCAGTTTTACATTTTATAATATTATTAATTAACTCAACGGAAATGGGTCCTTGAAGCTTCAGCGTCAGATCAGAAAAACGAAAATACTAAGCTGAACCTCCAGTATACAAGGATCAGCTGTAAAGATCATCCTCCTCGGCGTAGGCATTGGCCGCCGCCTCTGCTTCTGCCGCCTGCTGGGTCCGCTTGGGGAAGCGGAACTCGCTGCCGAATCCCCTCGACTGCTGCAGCGTCTGCGCGAACGCCTGGTACTTTCGGATGTCAGCATCGCTGACGCTCCTCCGTGCGTGCCTCATGGACTCCTCGAAGTGCGCGGCCACGATCTGCGCCGGCTCGTCGGCGCAGTCCACCTCCATATCCCCTGGCTTCTCCTTGGCCTTCCTCTCTCGCTCGATGTCCTTCTCAATGTCCTCCCGGATGGCGTACTTGCACGCCCTCTGGCAGATCTCCGTGATGTCCGCGCCGCTGAACCCCGCCGTGAACCTGGCCAGCGCGCCGAGGTCGACGTTCTTGGCCACGGGGGACTTCCTGAGGCAGGCCTTGAAGATCTGGTGCCGCGAGGCCTCGTCTGGCAGGGGAATGTAGATGAGCTGGTCGAGACGGCCGGGCCGGAGCAGCGCCGGGTCGATGATGTCCGGCCGGTTGGTGGCGCCGATGATGAACACCGTCTTCTTGGCGCTCATGCCGTCCATCTCGGTGAGAAGCTGGTTGAGGACCCTGTCCACCGCGCCGCCGGCGTCGCCCACGTGGCTGCCCCTCTGCGTGGCGATGGAATCCAGCTCGTCGAAGAAGAGGACGCACGGCGCCGACTGCCGCGCCTTGTCGAATATGTCTCGGACGTTGGCCTCGCTCTCGCCGAACCACATGGTCAGCAGCTCCGGCCCCTTGACGCTGATGAAGTTGGCCTGGCACTCGTTGGCGATCGCCTTGGCGAGCAGCGTCTTGCCGCAGCCCGGCGGGCCGTAGAACAGCACGCCCCTGGACGGAGACATGCCGAACTTCTCGAACTTGTCCGGGTGCTCCACGGGGTACTGCACGGTCTCCTGCAGCCCCGCTTGACGCCCTCGAGGCCTCCGATGTCCGCCCAGCTGACGTTGGGCACCTCAACCACGGTCTCGCGCAACGCCGACGGGTTGGTGCCGGCGAGGGCGGTCTTGAGGTGGTCGTTCGTGATGGCCATCGAGCTGAGGATCTCCGCGTCGATCGTCTCGTCCTCGAGGTCGATAACGTCCATCTTATCCCTGATACATTGAAGGGCGGCCTCGGTGCAGAGCGCGGCCAGGTCGGCGCCGACGTAGCCGTGCGTATCCTTGGCCACGGCCTCCAGGTCGACGTCCTCGGCGAGCTTCATATTTTTAGTGTGCACGCGCAGCACCTCGAGGCGGCCGACCTCGTCTGGCACGCCGATATCAATCTCGCGGTCGAACCGACCAAACCGTCGCAGTGCAGGGTCGATACTGTTGGGGCGGTTGGTGGCGCCCATGACGATGACGTGCGAGCGTGTTTTCAGCCCGTCCATGAGCGTGAGCAGCTGGGACACGATGCGCCTCTCCACCTCGCCGTGCGTCTTTTCCCTCTTGGGCGCAATGGAGTCGATCTCGTCGATGAAGACGATGGACGGCGCGTTCTTCTCCGCCTCCTGGAATGCTTTTCGCAGATTGCTCTCGCTCTCCCCGGCCAGCTTCGACATAATCTCGGGGCCGTTTATGCAGAAGAAGAAGGCGCCGGTTTCGTTTGCCACCGCCCGCGCGATCAGAGTTTTGCCGGAGCCTGGAGGTCCGTACAATAGGATACCCTTGGGCGGCTTCACCCGATCGACTTGAACAGCTGCGGGTGCCTAAGTGGCAGCTCGACCAGCTCCCTGATCTGAGCGAGCTGCTTCCGCATGCCACCGACGTCATCGTAGCCCACGCCATCGAGCCTCTCCTCGTCTTCCCGCTTCACGGGCTCGCCGTCGCAGAAGACCTCCGTGTCGTCGGCGACAATGCAGTACTCGGCGGGCGGGTGGATGTCCACCACCTTGAATTCCACGCTGCGCATGCCGCCGCGCACGAGGAAGAGGTCGCCCTTGCGGACGGGGCGGTAGGCGTTGAGGAAGTGCGGCCTCAGGTAGGCCTCGAAGAGGTCCCCCGTGAGGCCCTCCACGGTGTCGTCGAGGGGCAGGACGTGCACTTTGGCCCCGAACGCGGCGTCGCGGCACGGGTGCACGGACACGACGTCGCCGAGGCGCACCCGGAGGTTGGAGCGGACGGACCGGTTGATGCCGAGCGCGTGCTCCCCGCACCCCTCGTCGGCCATGGCGATGCAGACCGTGTCGCGACGCCGCTTCCCCTTGAGCAGGACCACGTCGCCGCGGAAGATGGACAGCTTCTCCATGGTCGTCGGGTGGAGGTTGCAGATGTTGACGTCGTCGTCGGTCGGCTCCTCCACCACCAGCTTGTTCGCCGCCTTCTTCTTCGTGGCGGCGGGAGGACAGCACGCCGCTGCGCCGTCGTCCGACATCGTGCCGGGTTCAATCTTTCTCGAGAACGGGTGGTGGCAGTGTGGTGTGGCGTGTCTTGCTTCGGCTTCGCGTCTCGCGGCGGCGGGAAGGCAGTTTGTGTTTGCGTTACGATGGGTCGCGGGGTTGGTCCGGTTATATGTCGCGAGCAGGAGGGGGGGTTTCCAAGTTTTCCACCTCGCACGGGCACTCGAGTAGTGTCGAGTCCGATGCTGGAGATGTTCGTTGCGGCTTACAGCTGGGCCCGATCGAGTCCGATTCCTTCTACTGGCCGCCCAATTCGAACTCCTGGAGTTTCTGGAAGTCCAGCCCATCACGGCCCAAAAGTGAATACAGCCTTCTTGCAGCCCAACATCATCATCATTGGAAAACGACGGGCTCGTTTTGAAGGCGGATCGGATCGGAGTCACATCAGAAAAGCCGATGCCGACTAGCGAAAATCTCGTCGCAAAAAAAAAAAAAAACTAGCGAAAAATCTCCTCTCCGTTGGGCCACGCCACACACGGAGTCCCTTGCACGGCACGCACGAGCATATTCCCCCGCTCAAGCCGAAGGCTGAACCGAACAGAGGCGGGCGGCGGCGACCTTTTCCATGGGGAGAGGCCCGGCCCCACAGCGGAGCCTGACCCTCTCTCCCTCTCGAGAGCGACTCCCTCGGCGTCGCCATCGACCGACCCCGCGGAAGCGGGGGGCGAACGCTTACCCACTCCCCAACCCAACCATAACCAATGGAGCAGCCCCTCATGCTGGACCGGAGTTGGGGGGTGACGACGAGACAGCCAGCCGCCGCCGGTTTGACCAGACCTGTGGCGATCAGCTCGTAAGGTGGGGTGGAGCTTCCGGTTAGAAAATAAGAGGGGTGCTGCGGGGTGGACTGAGAGAGCGGAAGGAAGGAAGGAGGGAGCCGGCGATGGGCGGGTGGAGCTGGCTCTGCTGCGGCCGATCCAACACCGGAGGCGGCGAGCTCCGGCAACCCGTGCCCTTCCAGCTGCCGGCGCCCTTGCCAGAGTGGCCGCAAGGTTTGGGGCTCTTCTCTCTCCCCCCAACGCCTTTCCTTTTGCTGGCTTTGATTCGCTGTTCGTGCTGATTGGTTGTGGAACCAGTTGGCGGTTGAGTCGTAGCTGCTCCGTATGAGTATCAATTATTGTTTTTTAAGGCAACATGAGTATCATTATTATTGCTAGATTTATAGTCCGTCTGTTGATAATCACCCGATTATTTTGTTTGTTCGTTTCCCCCGTTTCTTATCAGCAACCCTTTCTGTGGTAACCGTTACTAGAATCGATAGTTGCTTCAAATTCTTCCGTCTTGCATTAGAAATAAGCTGGGTTTGGCTTGTTAACCGATGGGGAAAAGGAGTTGAAATCCGGCGAAAGAGAGGATTTTTTGCTATTTCAGTGTGGTATTTCGCTTGCTTTGGCCATCGGCTTCTTTGATCCACGAGTTTTGTGTATTTTTTTTTTTACACTTTGGTTGTCGAATTACTGAATAAGGTGAAGTAGTTCGGCTACTACCACCCTGCTAATTTTACATGGTGCTCCCTCCGTTTCAAATAAATATATTTCATGGTGTATCTAATGAATCAAGTTTGGTGTTGTAGATGCTTTGCATTTTTGTAAAAACTCGATAAAAGTTAGAGAAGTTGGATTTATTGGAACTGAGGGAGTAGAGCTAGCACTAGCAGCCCGCAGGCAGCCAGGCACAAAGGTTTCTCTCCTCGAGGGGGCAGGGTAATTTTTCAAATCATATAGTGTCACTAATTCACTGTATAAGAAATACTAGTATCTACCTGTTTGCTTATTTGCAGGGAACAAAATCTGTAATTAACTTATTTTGTACAGGCTACTTAGAATCAGTTCTGTGTTGTCATGCATGTGAAACTGGAATCCTGCTCGTAGTTGAGCAACAATAATAGATGCATGTATCAATGTTCACTTGGCATTGTTTTACCATATAAATTGTTTTCTGGAATCTCTTGCTAACTTTCTTGCGCAACTCCTTCACAGGAGGGGATTTTGCTAAGGGCACAATATGCATAGGAGAGCTTGATGTTGTAAATATTACCAAATTCCGGAATATATGGACCTGCTCAGATGCTACATTTTATGAGCCAGAAGGAATTCCTGATGGTTTCCACTGCCTTGGGCACTACGCCCAACAGAATGATCGCCCCTTACAGGGATTTCTTCTTGTGGCAAGGGAAGTGGCTAGCCACCAAGTTATTAATAGCAAGCCCGCCCTTGAGAAACCATTAGATTACTCCCTTGTTTGGACCAGTGCTGACTTAAATGAAGATGACAACACCGAATGTGGTTGCATCTGGTTGCCATGTCCACCGAATGGGTATAAAGCCCTTGGCTATGTGGTTACTAAAGGACCAAAGGAGCCCTCACTGGAAGCAGTTCGATGTGTGCGAGATGACCTAACAGACACATGTGAAAATTTCCGTTCAATTGTAAATATGGATAATGCATGCCAGATTTGGAAGACAAGGCCTTGCCACCGAGGAGTGAGAGGACATGGTATACCGGTTGGTACATTCTCCTGTGAAACTGATTCAACAGATACCGATGAATCAAGCACTCCCTGCTTGAAAAATGTCGACTCAAATTTGAGTGCCATGCCTAATTTGGAGCAGATCAATGCTCTGATCAAGCACTATGGCCCAACAGTTTTCTTCCACCCACAAGAGACATACTTACCATCATCAGTTTCTTGGTTCTTTGAGAATGGAGCGACATTGTACAAGAAAGATGCAAAAATGGGAGATGCAATACTCCCTGGTGGCTTGAACCTGCCTGTTGGTGGGACAAATGATGGTGAGTACTGGATTGATCTCCCTGACGATGACAGGAAGGAGCTTGTCAGAGATGGCAATCTGAAGAGTGCTGAGCTATATGCTCATGTGAAGCCAGCTCATGGAGGGACCTTCACTGACATTGCAATGTGGGTATTTTGCCCATTCAACGGGCCTGCCACTATCAAGGTTGGATTTGCAAGTTTTGCTCTACAGAAAGTCGGTAGGCATATTGGAGACTGGGAGCATTTCACCCTCCGGGTGAGTAACTTCTCAGGTGAGCTGTCATCTATCTACTTCTCGCAGCACAGTGGGGGTGAATGGGTTGAAGCTTGTGATCTGGAGTTCATCTCTGGGAATAAAGCAATTGTTTACTCGTCGAGGAATGGGCACGCAAGCTACCCCCACCCAGGCTGCTACCTGATGGGGTCTGAGAAGCTTGGTGTCGGAGTTAGAAACGATGTGGCCCGAAGTGATTTATCAGTGGATTCGAGCACGCAGTATAAAATCATCTCAGCAGCGCATCTCGGAGATGCTGTTGTGGAACCATGCTGGCTGCAATACATGAGGGAGTGGGGACCGACCGTCACGTACAGCTCACGTTCAGAGATAGACACGGCGCTTAGCTTCTTGCCGTTCTTTCTCCGGTACACAGTGGAAGCAATATTCAACAGCCTTCCGGCGGAATTGTACGAGGAGGAAGGTCCTACAGGACCCAAGGAGAAGAACAACTGGGAAGGCGATGAGAGATGCTAGGCTTTATCGCCTTCATTATTTATCCCAGTTACCTCTATCTGTGCCCTAAAGCTGTATTTGATGAAAAGATTGATGTGCTATGCTATGATAAAACATTTAGTTTAGGATATGCTTGCGAAGCTTGAGGGTTCAGTGCACTTGTCAGGTTAAACATTGCACTGTTTATTTAGCTGCAGTGGTGCAAGTGCATGGCAACTTGTCCTGTGCGTCTGCCAACCAAATTGCGGTTGTATAATATTGTACCAGTCATACTTCTTTCTAGTGGAGTATTTGGTAAGAGCCAGATATGTAGTTCAAAATTAATAATCTTGTGAGTTCCTCTCTTGCAGTAAAACATTTGCAAGGCCTTTTTAAGTGCCCGATGCATCATTCTTGTAAACTACTGGGATGGGTAATGAAACAGTGTAAGTTTTTTTTTCTTTCTTTTCTTTTTGCGAGACTGTAGGGTTAACTGAAGACTCTGATATCAAAATGACAAAAGGCGACAGAGGAGAGAAAATGATGATCTCTGCCGAGGCCGGTAAGCCGGTTCGACTAGCAAAGCGACATCCGGAGTGATTTTACATCGGCCGAGAGGAATTATATCAGAGTTTTACTATAGGTCAAGAAAAGGCATGAGACCCTTCAACTCCATTGTTTTTTGAAAATTATTTTTTTAAACTGTTCAACTCCATTGTTGTTGTTGCATTATGATTTTTTTAAAGAAAATAAGTTGCTTTTTCTTTTGCATCTGACAATGGCACGGTTCCTTGTGTCGCAGTGCATCCTGATATGTGTGCACTTGGTGCTGTCCTTGCTAGCATATGTTGCAGTCTGTAACCTGGTTCCTGCATGCGCTACTTTTAGCTCCACCAGATGACTTGTTTACAGAAAAGAGGTGATTAGCAGCGGAATCCAGCCGTCGGCTGCACATGGAGTATTTTGTTTTCAGGTCATGGTAATGAACCTGACATTGGTCATACTCTTTGTAGCACTGGATGTGTTACTTACCTCGGCGTTGAACCTTTTCACCTGCTGATTTGAGTGCTGAATTACTGAAGCAGAAATTGGCACTGATTATAGTAAAATTTGGCACTGGCATACAGTAATGGGCACTGTATTTGAAAAAAAAAATACAGTAATGGACACAGAGAACAAGCACTCCAATCTGATGCCAAAAACAAATCTTCTCTGCTCTTATTACGCACGAGTTATTCCCTTCGTTCTCCACTCTGCAAGGGAGAAGCAGTATGCATTGTTGTTATACATACATACATACAGAAGCATCAGCTTCGTTTAATGTACTAGTGTCACAAATCCTCCCCTGGTGCCCTGTGTTCCCTCATCGGTTCCATGGTTATTCAGGTCAGGGAACGCCCAGTGTTCCTCCCACTCATATACACCTTATTTTCTATGTCGCCCTATGGTGTTGGTACGAACCTCTATGGTGTAAGTACACTGGCAGATACC